ACTTATTCTTAACAATATAATCTATCTGCTTTTGGTCAGTGGAGGAGGCACTGTACTTCAATATAGGATTGTAGATTTTTAGCCTTGTGAACTTGTGTTTCCTGTTTCAGGTCCAGGTCATGAACATTTCCGTGATGCTCCTCGCCCTGATCATCCCCCTCACGATGGTCATTCCCCAGCTAGCAGAGAACGTTCCTCTTCTCTCCAGGGCATGGACATGGCATCCTTGCCACCCCGAAAGCGTCCCTGGCATGATGGGCCAGGGACCTCAGAGCACAGAGAAATGGAAGCCCCAGGGGGTCCTTCTGAGGATCGAGGAGGCAAAGGTAAGTGGAGGCCAGTGACACAGTTCCAGGAGCTGTGGATGCCACAGTTCTGCCAAGAAAGCTGCGGGGACCATGCGAGGCCTCATCGCCAGGACACCTGCATCCCTGTGATCCTGTTCCATCTGTTACTGACAGGATATCCAGGGTCCTTTCTCCATTTCTACACTGTAGGGCTTAGGCTGTGCAACGGCGCATGTTCCCAAGTGTGGTGCAAGTGCAGCTTGTTTGGGCTCACACCGTAGCCAGTCAGACCCTTTACTCAGGTGACTACAAGCTCAGCCTCCTCCACATGCTTCCAAGAATTCCCTTCCCTGGTTCATTCAAGTGTTCTTTTCCAACTCTTTGTCAAGGTGCCCCAGAGCAGGAGAGAGACTCCTGCTCTCATTGGCACACATGCTCTTCACCACTGGCTACTCTTAGCCCTCAAGGGTGTCCTCAGTGACAGGAAAAACTGTCTTCCCAGGTGCTATGTTTTGTTTTAGCCTGGGTCCAGGAGGAACTGCTAATGCCCAGTCACAAAGACTTTGAGGAATATGGTCTGGAAGGGGTTGTTTTTAGGGGGGCAGTAGATTATTTCTACAGCTTGAGACTTTGGATCTTTTAGAGGTAGCACTAACTTCCAGCCAGAAGCAGGAGCCACCCTGTGGTCTCAGGTTAGGCTGGGCCACAGCCTCTATCTTAGTTTGGAGGCTGCTAGGAAGCAGGCCTAGTTAACCTGCCTCATGTTTATAATCTCTTCATTACAAAGTTTTGCTTTTCATTTTTGGTGATGGTTTGGTTCTTCTCAAAGCAAAAATCTCAGAAACTACCTCATGTCACCAGTAGATCTCACCACCTAAGCATACACATGTTGTCGCTGGTCAGTATGGGCACTCAGGACACCTGTGTAGGTCCTAGCCAAGGCCACATGGCTGGTGTGGAAGTGACTTCCTAGGTGACATCTTCTCTGTCCAGGTACCTTCAGGTGGGCCTAGGCTACCTTTATAGGAAAAGCAGTCAACATTTTTCCTTTGGCTAGCTTTCCTAACCACCTTGTTTTACCTAGATTCAAATTCCACTCAGAAAGTTAAGACATAGGACACCTGGGTGGCTTAGTGGGTTAAGCGTCTGCCTTCAGCTCAGGTCATGATCTCAGGATCCTGGGATCGAGGCCCCACATCGGGCTCTCTGCTCGGCAGAGAGCCTGCTTACCCCTCTCTCTGCCTCCTTGTGATCACTCTGTCAAATAAATAAAATCTTAAAAAAAAAAAAAAAGTTGAGACAAAAACAGGGCACCTGGGTTGCTCAGTTGGTTAAGCATCTGCCTTTGGCTTGGGTCATGATCCCGGGGTCCTGGGATTGAGCCCCATGTCAGGCTCCCTGCTTGGTGGGAGCCTGCTTCTCCCTCTCCCCCCCGCTTGTGCTCTCTCTTGATATTTCTGTCACTATTTGTTTCTCTCTCTCAAATAAATATATAAATAAAATTAAAAAAAAAAAGGTTAAGACAAATAAAGTCAGCGACAGTCTTCTGGTAGTATATTATGGGAGATACGGCCAAATCCTGTTAGCTCATGAGAAAATTTTAAGTCAGAATTCTAATATACTTAAAAAGATTTGTGTGTCCAAGTGTGGAACAAATAAAACTGTCCCTGGGAGAAATAATTATAAAAGCTAGGTGGTTGGGTTTTTTTTTTTTTTTTTAATGCTTTTGTGTTTAAAGAAATACTTTATTTCACTATTTGAAAGGAAAACAAAAAATGCCACATGGTTGTGGAATAAGGATAGTAAGACCCATTGTAATTAACACCAGCAGTTTGTTGTTTTTAAATTTTTTCAGTGTTCCAAGATTCATTGTTTATACACCACACCCAGTGCTCCATGCAATACTTGCCCTCCTTAATACTCGCCACCAGGCTCACCCATCCCCCACCCTCTCCCCTCCAAAGCCCTCAGTTTATCTTAGTTGCTTCCAAAGTAAAGTCTGTGCTTTTCAAGCCTTCCCCCACAATAGAATAACATTCCCCTTGCCCACCTCCCCACCCCCCCACTGGCATAGGAGGTTGAAGATGCACTTGCTCAAGTAGAGACATGGCCCCGTGTGGACTGTGACTCCCAGAGATGCTCCAAATTCACTTCTGGGTTTCCCATCATTTCTATCACACAGCCTCTGGGAACATGTCTGGTCGCCTGGGTGGGAATGAGATAGTCATTGACTAGAGGGTGGAGGCACAGCTGTTAATACTCTGAATGATACTGCTGATATCCTCAGAACTATTTTAAGACCCAGAACATTCCACTGTGTTATTGAGCTTGTGCTGGGAGTTACTAATTAACGGTCTCTGATATAAAAGAAAGTAACATGAAATTATTTTGATTCATTTTAGGCCGAGGGGGCCCAGGACCTTCCCAGAGAGTGCCAAAATCCGGGCGTTCCAGCTCCTTGGATGGAGACCACCATGACAGCTACCACAGAGATGAACCTTTTGGGGGCCCTCCAGGCAGCGGTACTCCTTCCAGAGGGGGCCGAAGTGGCAGTAACTGGGGTAGAGGGAGTAATATGAACTCTGGCCCACCAAGGCGAGGAACTTCAAGGGGTGGTGGAAGGGGTCGGTAGAAGCGGATTCCCACGAGGCCTCTCCGGACAGTATTTAAGAACTTCTTGTGGACTTACCAAGACAAACAAAAGGAAGCCTGCACCATGTAGCCCTGAACTTTTTCTGGGGCAGCTGCATCCCAGGAGCCCCTAATGAGGTCTTCAAGATGAAGAGACTGCTGCTGGCTACCCAGAGTAGCTGGCTTTGTTCTGTCCTGTCCACCCTCACTGCCCTAACTCCCATTGTTTTGTGAAGATAAAAGCTGGAATCTTTTTTTTTTTTTTTTTTTTAAAGTGTCATGAGACATGGAGCACCTCCACAAATTTAAGTTCATGTCCAATTGGAAATTTGTTTCTATATGTACAGTTTGTCAGAGAAAAAACATTAAGTTGTTTTTGTATGAATACAGAATGTGATTTACGCAAGAATTAACAGAAAACTAGTTGTGGCGTGCTTGCCTTAAGGAAACCCTTTGTTTCCATTGCATCCAGTCAGCTGAGGGGGGGGGTACAATTATTGCTTCTATTTATGTGCACAGTTGGTGGCTACCTCTGAGCCATCTAAGTTAATTTCATCCCTGTACTTTGTCTTAAATTCTCATCTACCCATTCTGTTACACTTATTTTTGTAACAGAGTGGGATATTTTCAAACTATTAACAGTTTAAAGTAATTCAAAGCTTTAGTTACCACCTGCTATGGCAGGTGGGAAATTACACTCTGAAGGAAAAAAATCTTCTGGCTGTCTAAGTGGGGGTTCTCCCTTGGGTGCATCTCCTCCTGGTAATCACACCTTAGACTTGAATTCCCTTGTTTCTGATGAGAGGAACCGGAGGTAAACCAGAAATTAACTGCATGCACCCTACCGATTGATTACATCATGTCACAAATTAAGTTGAGAAGGAATGAACCAAGGATCTCCTAAAACAATTCTGCAAAACCTTCTCTTACACCAGCATTTAAGGATGAGGATAGTTCTAGCTTAAAGCCAGGAAGTTCTCATCCACAAATTTCTTTAGTTTTAAATAAATGTAACATTTGGCCCAGTTTGGATTGAAAGCCAAAATTCAGTTAGATAATCCTGTATTTTCTCTACTGACTCTTATTTTGTTAAGAAAGCTTTTATTATTCAAAGGATATTTCTGTGACCACCCTAACATCTTTAGCACTGGAGACAGGTTTACCTGGCAAATGTGGTGGAAGTCTCACAGTTGCTTAAGACAAGGGATGCTGGCATAAGTGGACAGCATATAAAAACCTCTTAATTAGTTCTCTATTAATACAAAGCATGGTAAAAGCTAAGTTATTTCTGCAGTGAGAAAATGTCAGCCACACACAGCTTTTTAGGGTGTTAAAACCTAGAGACTACAAGTGAATCATTTTTTTAAAAGATTTTATTTATTTGACAGAGATCACAAGTAGGCAGAGGCAGGCAGAGGGGGAGGGGGAAGGAGGCTCCCCGCTGAGCAGAGAGCAGGATGTGGGGCTCCATCCCAGGACCCTGAGATCATGACCTGAGCTGAAGGCAGAGGCTTAACCCACTGAGCCACCCAGGCACCCCCAAGTGAATCATTTTCACTTTGTTTTGAAATTAAAAACATTTATCGGCATGTCAGTATAAACGCATGATTAGGAGGCTCAAGAAGGCTTCAAATTTGTGGTATATTCTTTATTTGCCCTCCACCGGCACAGCTTAAAAAGTTGTAATCAGGGGCGCCTGGGTGGCTCAGTGGGTTAAAGCCTCTGCCTTCAAGCTCACGTCATGATCCCAAGGTCCCGGGATCGAGCCCCGCATCGGGCTCTCTGCTCAACAGGGAGCCTGCTTCCCCCTTCTCCCTCTGCCTGCCTCTCTGTCTACTTGTGATCTCTGTCTCTCAAATAAATAAATAAAATCTTGAAAAAAAAAAAAAGTTGTAATCAAATTCTGATTAAGGTAAAATGGGATCCAGGGACTGAATCCATATGGACATTAGGCTCCTTTTTCTGAGACTGATGTGTTAAGAAATTTATCATGTTAACATTTTAGGCTTCAACTTTAAAAACATACCTCAGCAAGCGGATAACCAGATTACATTTTGAGAAACAATTCCTTTAGGAAAAACCTGAAATCTCTACACTGTAATTTATTAAATATTTAGAATATTTTAAAACATCATTACCAAAATACATACAAGGTATTGTGCTTTGAATTTTACAAATGCTAGATTTTCAGTGTTTGAATTCTTGAGACAATGTTTGGAAAACAATTTAAAAAATGTAAGAGCATCAACATAAAAATGTACTGAATACTGTAAAATCTTCCATTGTGCAAATTCTAGAGAAATGGAGAACTAGATCAGATATTTAACTGAGGGACAGAAGGAGCAGTCAATGGCCCAAGTTCTTCCAGTTACAAAAGTCAGTCACTCCCTGAAAACAGTACATTTGCTTTTACTACAAACACCCTCTTGGTTTTCCTCTTGAGGTAGGTAAGTAACCCTGTTTACTGATAACAGAATAGGGCAGTAATTAGAGAATACTGGATTGGGGGCCTCATGAAGTTGGGGCAGGGCTTAGGACACTGATCAGGATCCAGGAATATAAACAACTGTTTTGGAACAAAGAGGCAATGCTCCATTGCTGCCTGACACACCTGTTTAGGCAACAGTGAACTCCAGCCCCAGAAAATAATTATTTTCAAATTGTGCAATCCAGTGCACAGAAAAGTGGTTCTCAACTTTAGCTGAACATGGAATCATCCGGAGAGCTCTAAAAAAATACTGATGCCTGGGTCTGCCCCCCACCCTACCACCCACCCCAAAGATTCTGATTGAGCTGATCTGAGGTTTTGCTCTTCAAGTAATTCTGATGTGAACTGAGAACCACTGACACAGAATTTAAAAATTCTAAATACTCCACTCTCTAGTTAATATATAGCTACTAACAAAACATGTAGTTTTTTGGACTCATCAGAATATCCAGTCCGAACTTTCTGGCAATACATTAGCATATACAATAAAGTCAGAGACAAGAGTCAATGCTGAATTTAAAAGGAACCTAAAAGGAAAAGCTTCTTACGGTGCACTGGAATTAGCCTACAAAATGTAAATTATACCTTAAAAAGCAGGTAATAAAACTAGGAATGATAATTAGGTTTTGTAGAAATCCATGATTTCCGTCAAATATACAACTTTGGATGTAGAATTCTCTCGTCCAGCAGGAGTCCCCAGCACAAGTTCTGCCCAGGGACCTCTCATAGCACTGAAATGTCCTGCTTCTTGGGGAAGACATTTCCCTTTTTGGTCCATTGCTTTCATGGTCTAATACAGAGCCAATCTTTAATTTTGTAAGGCACCATATTTACAATTTCACTAAAAAAAAAAAAAAAAAAAAAAAAAAAACCGAGGTAAACCGTCTTAACTAAAGTACTTAAATAAAAGCCGGTGGATAAATTTAGTGTTTAATTTGATACGCTTAAGAATCCACTCAATGAATGAGGAAAAAATTTCTAAGCCAAAGAAAACAGAAGCGTATTGTAGCTAACCTACTACAATCTACCACTGGATTTTTTTAATCGACAAAAGGTAAAAGAAGTCTGAGGAAAGTCACAAGAGCAGCTAATTAAAACTGAGGAGCCATTCTTTTTTTACTGCGCTCAATCTGAAACTACGGTTAACGCAAAAGCAATTTACCATAAGTTTTTCACAGCATATCCCCAAGTCAACGACAACATCTCGTTTTATAGCACATGCTACCGAGTAAGACGGGAAAACGCTGAAACCGAAGAGCTTCCGAACCGGCTCGAGTCTCCGTTTTAGGACGGCCGCTCCAAGACGCTGACAGGTTCGCTGGCACAATAACGGAGCAGCCTTTACCCAGCGCGATCGGGAAACTGGCGGGTGCAGTGCTCCGCTCGGTCCGCGCTGAACCCCGGGCGGGCTCCCGGTGGTCTCCCTACGGCGCATCCCGGGGCAGGCTTCGCGCTCTCCCCCGACGGCAGGTCCCGGGGCAGGGCTCCGCGCCATCTCCGGCGGCGCGAGCCCTGGGGTTCTCACACCGGCAGTGCCTTGGCAAGGCCGGCGCCGGGAGTCAGGCGTCCGAGCGCTACTCGCAGCGCGGTGCCTGCGCCCCAAGGCAGGAGTCCGAACAACACGGTCAGCAGCGCGCCCACCTGCACGAAGGCGCCCAGCGCCGTGAGCAACGTGCTGCGCAGCCCGAGCGCCGCGTACAGCGTGGCGCCCAGCGAGGCCACGTAGAGCAGCGCAGGCCGCGACGGCGTCTCCTCGCCGCGCAGCAGGCGCCCGCAAGCCGCGCCGCCCCGCAGCAGCATGCCGCCCGCTAGCGCCAGCGCCGAGCCCAGAGACCAGAGCAGCGCGAACTTGCGGGCGCGCAGCAGCAGCACGGGCGCGTACAGCGCGGCCAGGCCGAAGCAGAGCGCGGCCAGCAGCAGGCAAACGCCGCTGGCCGCCAGCCGCTGTGTGCGCGTCACACTCGGCAAGCCTGTAGCCACCGTTGGCTCCGCGGGGCCCCGCGCCCACGTCCAGCGCAGGCCCGCGCGGCCCAGCCACGCCCCCGCCGGCCCGCCCCCCGCCGCGGGCTCCTCAGTCTTTTCCGCAGCGAGCAGCGGCTCGGCGGCCGTCAGCCCGCCAGCTTTACCCTGCGCCAGGTACTCCTGCAGCTGGCGGTGGAGATCCGCCATGCTGGCCGGAGCGGCCGAGGGACGCGAGGGCTGGTGCCCACTTCCGGTTTTCCTAGGTCGCTGGCGGAAGCGGCTAGGCCCTCGGCGGGAGGGGTGGGACCTGCGGCCCTTGCGGAAGAGGCGTGGCTGCCTTCCTGCAGACTTGGGGTGGCTCGGCTACCAGCAGACGGGTTTACTGGCTTACGGTCCCCCTGCATTGACCATCTTGGAGCCCGGCGTTATTCCTGTTGGGCGCTGTTACGGCCTGGATTAGTTGTGTCGGCATTAAAAGTTAGTTGGAGGACGGGGTGCGTGTGGTTATAAAAGGTTACATGAGGGACCCTTGTGGTGGTGATGGGACAGTTAAGTATCTTGAGCTTATGGGTATCAGTATTCTGCTTGTGATACTGTCCTGTAATTTTGCAAGATGTCGCCATTGGGGGACTCTCCCTATTCTTAAAACTGTACGCTAATCTGCAGTTCCTCTCAATAAATTTAGTCTTTTAAAAAGTTCAAATCTGCAGGACTTAAACGTGGTTTCTTTGGAAAGGCTACTGAAGTTGATGAAGGAGTTAACCCCCCTCCCCCAACCAGCTTATCTTCTGTTCCCCCTTTCAGCAGAGGCCTGGCAATATTCTTGACTCCTTCAAGCCCCATGTACAAGACTTGTAGGTGCCCATTTTTTACATTTTTGGTTCACCTTTTTGTGCTCCTGACATCTCTGGGTCCAGTGACTCGGGCAGATCACTGATAAGCTTGCCGGATCTCCAGTCAATTCCTGATGTGTCCTGATGTGGCTCCCAGGGATCCTGCTCTTACTTAGAGCCTTTTTGAGGTCTCCTCCACGGCTTCTGTGTCACTTGTTTGGGCCTGGGTAGTTTCTACTCCTGGACATTTAGATGGAGCAGCGCCTCCAGCTACTTCTGATGTTCTCACCTTTCCCAATTTGTGAAAATTTACTTGTTTATGTATTTGCCAGCAACTTGAGCACAGGGTCTCTTTCATGTCCCTTTTCCTAGGACCTTAAAGGCTGCTGCAAATACATGGAGCTGTCAGTTCCAGTGTCGTAAAGGTGCTTGAAAGGCTCTAGATCCTGCCTGAAGCCATTGATTGAAACACCTTTTTTGCTTGACTTTATAAATGCCTCTTGTGAACTTAAATGTGATGGCACAGGAGTTCTTTTGTATTATGAGGTGCAATACAGGTAAATTGCACAGCAGTCTACTGTTGTATAGGTTTTTGGCTTCCTTGCTCCAGAAGACCGTTCCTTCCTTTGTCCTGGGGATGGGAGGCTGTGCCTATTGCTGCAGGCTGTTTCCAGTAATCCTCTGTCACCTGGCTTTGGAGACACTGCCACAGAGAGGCCAGGGTATATTCTTTTGACTCTTCTCATCACCTTGGTACTGGCTTCCCCATGACAGCATGACCTGGTACCACCCAGTGGGCAGGTGACATTGCTTTGTCCTCTACCCTTGGAAGAGGTAGGTGTTCCTGCTTTCTGCTATTGTCATCTCTGGATTCTCAGCCTTTCTGTTAACCTGTGTAACCACTTTCCCCATTAAATTCCCCTGAATACCTATTTCCTGGTTGAATCCTGACATACAGTGTTCTTTTTCAACATACATTACAGTTGTTATCTCACTTGTGGCAACCTGAAGAGGTAAACTGAGGCAAGCTTGAATTACCAGAAATTGAGTTTATTTGGGAATGGCGTAAGAACTACAGTTTGGGAAATGCAAACTATAGCAAGCTATAGGTTACTCCCATGACGATTTGGGGGTGGGGAGCTGTATTTATGGTAAGGAGTGCAAAGATGGGGGAATTCAGCCATAGTCCAAATGGTAAGTTCACTGGCCTCTGGATAAAGAGAGATTCTTTTTTTTTTTCCCTTAAAGATTTTAAAAATTTATTTTAGAGAGAGAGTGTGTGTATGTGCATGAGTTGGGGAAGGGGCAGAGGATGAGAGAATTCCAAGCAGACTCCATGTAGAGCTCAGAACCTGGTGTGTGGCTTGATCCCAGGATCCTGAGGTCATGACCTGAGCTGAAACCAAGAGTTGGACACTTCACCAACTGAGCCACCCAGGCACCCCAGGAAGAGATTCTTGGTGGATATTCATTGGTCAGGAGATAAGTTTCCATCTTCTGTGAATCGAGGATTTATAGGAAGTCAGCTTTTCAGTTTTTTCTTTTTTTAAATATTTTATTTATTTGAGAGAGAGCGAGCACAAGCAGGGGGAGCATCAGAGGGGTAGGGTTGAGCAGGGAACCTGAGGTGGGACTGGATCCCAGGACCCTGGGATCATGACCTGAGCCAAAGGCAGACGCTTAACCAGCTGAATCACCCAGGTGCCCTTCTTTTTGATTCTTAAGTTTTGCTGAGGGCACATCCACTTCGTATCCTCTGATTCCATTTTAGATTGAAATTCTTTTGCACATGTAATCATAGTGCTCATCCTGATCACTTACCATGGGCAAAGCCATTAGGGTGGCTACTGTCAAACAAAACACAGACAATAACGAGTGTTGACCTGGAAGTGGAGCAATTGCAGCTATGAGATGTAAAAGGATTGTTCTGCTCATTGTACAGATGAGGGAAAACTGAAATATGGGGAAGTTAACCTACTTGAGGTCACCCCAAAAGTTGGTGATAGAGTAAGACAGCATGTTGTGAGATGGAGTTTTAAACATAAGGAGATCCTCCCTGGGAATAGAATTGTATAAAACCAGAAAACCTGTCCAGGGTTGGTTCCCACACTGATAGAAGGACATAATAAAACCATCTCTAGATACCTGCTCCCCTCTAGCTACTACAGCAGAATTCACTTAAAGAATCTGAAACCCCATGTCTCCACTTAACCCTATTCTTCCTTGAATCCCCTTCATCCCCTTGTGCCCGCAAAATTGTTCGCAACCAGGTCACCAAATATTTCTGTGGCCAAGTGCAGTAAAATTTCAGTCCCTAGCCTCCTTAAACTCCCAGCAGGCTATGACACAGTTGTGCCCTTCCTCCTGAGAGCATCGCTTCCAGGACAGCACATGGTACAAGCAGTGGGGCCCCAGCTCTCCTGGGTTTGCTCTACATGGGGTGCCCAGGCCTTCCTGCTCTTTCATATGCGCCCTGTGTTGTTGCAAGCCATCTTATGCAGGCCCTTGGGCAGATCCCTCCCTCACTTCTCCACTGGATATCCAATAGACATCTTGAAGATGACATATAAAATGAAACTTCTGATTCCCAATTTCTCCTCCAAAACCCCCAAAACCTGTAACTGCTACCCCGCTCTTCCTTCTCATTTCAGGAAGTCACACACCGTCTCGCACCCTGCAGCTCTACTTGGGTAGTCCATGTGGTGCCTGGGCCACCGCGTCTCCTCCATGATTGACCCTTCCTCTGGTCTGGCCAGCTGGCCAACGCCTCCCTGCCCCAGGACTCTGTCTCAGTATCTCTTTTGGTCCAGGTCTCCTAGCTGTTCGTACAACAGCTGGGGGCTCCCTCACTTCCTCTGATGCTTTCCTGCTTTCACAGGAACCATATCCTTTTGTTGCTTCTGTAACCCCCTCCCACCCGCCACACCTTCTACCACCTCTCCCATGATGCTCCCCTCCCTCATTCTGGCCCAGATACAGTGGTCTGAGTTGTTTCTGGATATGTCAAAATCATTCCACCTCAGTGCCCTAGAGCATTCCACCTAGTGCCTAGAGCATTCTTCCCCACACCCCATCCCCAAGTACTTTACAGCTTACACCCTTTGTTCAGGTCTCAGTTTGAATGTCCCTCTTCAGGGTGTCCTCTGACCATCCTAAAACAGCACCTCCCGTCACTCTCTACCCTTGATGCTGACAAACAAATGTGTAATTACTTCCTTGGTAGTGTAATGCATTTGAAGAGAACCAAAAATACAAATCCCACACCATCATTCTGAGCACCCATTTGCAGTAGATTGTTGTGGATTGAGATAGGAAGCAGCAAGAGACTCTGACATACACAAGAGATCCCTGGAAATTGTTACTTTGTTTTTAAACCAAATCCTTGTTCTAAAGCCCTAATCTGTGTTCTCTGTGGTGGCAGATGACCTTGCTTCACGTGGTCAGAGGCCAGACAGGGACTGACGTCATCCTCTTGGAGGTATCAGTCCCAGAAGTATTGGGAAGGGACCTATTGTCCAGTGTTGGTCAGGTGCCTGTCACACATCCAGTAGGTGGGCGGTCTCTCTTTTTTAAAAGATTTTATGTATGTATGTATGTATGTGAGAGAGAGCAGGGGAAGGGGCAGAGGGGGAGGTTAAGGGAGAGGGAGAGAATCCCAAGCAGACTCTGCACTGAGTGGTGGAGCCTGATGACACAGGCCTTGATCTCATGTCCGTGAGACCATGACCCAAGCCAAAACCAACAATCTGATGCTTAACTGCTGAAATTATTGAGCCACCCAGGCAGCCCTCGGGGTGTGGGGGAGGGGTCCCTCAAAGGCTGCTCTTCCCTTCCCACTGTAGTCAATCTCAGTACAATATCGGGTGGATCCCAGCTCCCACCACCCAGAGGGGGAAGGCGATAGAGCAAGCCTTTTGCTTTGTTTTATTTTATTTTATTATTTTTTGTGGAGAGATGGGGGACGGAGAGCCCAGCATGGAGCCCACTGAGGGGCTTGATCTCATGACCCCGAGATCATGACCTGAGCCAAAATCAAGAGTCAGGTGCCTGACTGAGCCATCATGCAAGTGCCTTTTCCTCCAGAACCAGACAGTTCCAGGTGTTAATCCATGGCTCCTTCTAGGTGTTTTCAAGGTGACATCTCCCTTCCTTCTCTGTTTTGGCCATCCCTGCTCAGCAAGGTCCTGCTTGACATGGAACTTGATCCCATAACCCTGAGATCATGACCAGAGCTGAAATCAAGAGTTGGATGCCCAGCCGACTGGGCCATCCAAGCACCCCTAAAAATTAAATTTCAAATTCCTTATCTGGCATTCTAAGCCTGCCCCTCTAGACCCCAGCAGCTCTCGCCCTGCCCTGTGGAGCTCTCTCTGGGGCCATTGGGCCCTAGCAACAGGGTGACTCTGCTCTTCTGTGGCTTT